TGTATTAGAGTAGACCTTTTAGAAAGCAATTTCTCGATATCAGAATTAAAATTACCGTATTAACCGGTTAAAAAAAAATGACCACAAGGGGTTAGTCTGGCAGTTTTAACCCTCGCCTCTAGAACTTATGCTAGGCTCCCACTATTGCGATTCGGGCAGGTTTTAATCGTGGAGTAATCGTGGTGATCCTATTAGGTCTTATCATATTGTGGTCAGTCGTAGCGATGTGTTGATCGTACTAAACGTATCTACAAGTACTATAGCTCGTGGATTCAATGGGGACAATGTTATTGTAATGCATAGCACGACAATGTGAACTTAGAAAAAATGACAATAATACTCTTGGATATAATATATATAATAAGGATATATATTGAGTATACTAGTGACAACGGAAAATGAACAATGGTCGGTGATATCCTCTAAGCCATCGCCCTGTGATGATCCAGAAACAACAATGAATTATAGATACCGACCACCTGAATATTATATAGATAGAATAATTTGTTTTTGGTTCAGAATATCAACGTGGTAGAGACATCAATAAATGAAAGAGCTTAGCGCATAAGGCTACCGCAGTCTTGTTACCAGGGGATTCGTCGGACGACATTTTGGGTGACCACTAACCAATCGAAGGCCATTATTCCTTATTGGTGGGCCCTTCATCCCCAAAAATAACAAAAACACGACATAAAACAAAACAACTTTCACAACATTAATACAAATAACTACATGAAATTAGTTATCAAAAATGAATAGGATTCTTTATCTTGCTAATATAAACATTGTTGCCGAGTGACAGCAATCTAGAGCCAAACTACACTGCAGACTCCAGAAAGTCGTTTATTGTTTTAAGGGGATATAGGCGATGCCATGATGTCCCTGTAAAAATAAAATGATCTTATTGATTTTGGGTGAAAGTGACATAGAATTATATATTTTGTCATATGACAAGTATATTATGAAAATACAAGGCGCCAGACTGGCGTTTATATTTCTATACATTATTATAACAAAACAACTTTATTAGATTGTCCATCATATTGATAAGTATTCTGGTAGAGATGAAAACTATACACGGCCTCGACATATATGTGTCCATGATAATATACTATACGTTTTATAGAGTCATTATTAGTCGGGTAAATTGACCAAACATTATCAAGAAAAGGTGTCTAGTCTGTGATTAAATAGTAAATGTCAAAAGATGCAATTTTCAGGGAAATTAGTCTGTAGCGAACGACTCACTATGTGATGCCTTGTAGCAAAATTCAGAAAATTGATACCAGACACTTTTCTTGCATGGACATACAATGTTGGAGTAGTATAAATAAAATGCTAAATATATTTTTCTTCTACATTCGATGAAATAACGTCGAACAAATAACGCTGTTTTGGCCCCACTCAACACTAATTCTATCTATACATGTATATATATCTAAGTGAGCAGAAATATTATTTCAGTGCTTCAGAATTTATAAAATTCTAGGGTAATCCCCAGACCTCGCGCCAAACTTGACTTGGCCTCCACTAACACCCCACCAACTACCCCCGCTCAATTTCCTGAACCCTGGAAGGGTACTTTATATGGAGGTGCCAATTAGTACATGTTTTATCCCTTATTCAAAACTGCCACCTTTAGATAAAGGAAGTGTTCCACTGCCTACACAGCATGCTAAACCAAATCCGAAATTGAAATTAAATTTAATAAACCAGTCCGATTTCCGCTTTATATAAAATATAATCGTATGTGCCATCAATAATCTAAATAACACATAAGAGCAACCCAATTCAATATTTCATTCTAACCTAAATAAGACAGAATTAAGTACTGCATTACTGCAAATCTTAAAGTTACAATTTCATATTTTTAAGTTATATTTTTAAAATGTATTAAAATAAAGCCCTTAAATAGATGATATCTATAAACAGTCCTAAGATTAATTCTATAATTCACTATTGCCAGTTGAGGAATTGGCAAAATTATCATTTTCAACTTCAAATTCAAACGTTTGAAGATAGCTATTCCATGGTGGGGAATAGGAAAACAAGGGAGGTAATAGGGAGGTAATTGTGTTATTATTTCCAGTGTGAAGATTTTTAAGTGTGAGAAAGATAACCTATGATCGTATAATAGTGAGTTGACAACCTATTGAGCAAAATATATAGAAATAGTTATGTTTTGACTTTCTTAGAAAATATGAAATTGTAACTTTAAAGGTACATTATGGGAGATTCGATAACGAGTTGGCAGTTCTCACTATAATAATTAAAAAAAAAAATAACGTAAAGGCAATTTGCTGAATATTTCATTCTAATTGTTCCACTATGAACCGAGAACTAAGCGAATGCAATTTCTGCCTAGCCTCGGTCATCGTTACTAAAGTCAGTACGACAAACAGCATAGTCTCGATTATCCATTAAATCGTTTCATCGAGAAGGAGAGTTATGCAGTAAATCGGCTCACAATCCACTTAAGATCGCAGGCTAACGATGCCATCTAGAGTTGATTACGGTCTTGATAAGTTAATTAATGTCTAATTAATAATATAGATAACATTTCAGGCCTAAAGAAAGACCTGCAATAGACAGATTTAGCTCTTGCATAATGTATGTTTAGTTAATTAAGTCATTTTGAACGGGTTTGATCCAACAGAGGGATGACTGACCGCATGCGAACACCACCGCACCCACTCCAATACCAATTGAATAAATAAAAATGACATTGCCTATGTAATGCCGTGAATAATTGTGTAATACTAAATACCTGAAAACCATAAAAAAAAAAAAAAATAATATATATGTACGTACGTACGCGAACCCTACAATCTGAACTTGCTTGTGATTTTTCATAGAAGATTCACTAAAAATCTACACAAGAAACGAATCGATATCTGTGCAGTATTTGAACCTCAAAAGAATTTAAAACGTCGACAACTATAGATTAACTATTACTACAAGAGTGAATCTATATACGGTCAATTTATCTTGTCGTAAACACAGAATGAAAATCAATCGCTCCTCATTATCTCGAGCCAATTTAATTCTGTGAAAGGCCTTAGTGTGTAATATGATTTAATGCGAGAATGGTAGTTATCTTCAAACCAATTAACGAAACCATCGACCCTTCTTTTATCGGACAGTTGGTCTGTATAGAAACAATAAGAAAGGGGAGAATGGATATGAATGTACACCAAGACACTAACTATATTTTGGTACTTTAAAACTATCAATTTTGCGAATTTATTTTTTTCTCATAAAAATGCAATAATGGTTACAAATATTTTGACCCCTTATTTTCAATGTGGCCGGAAGTCATTCATTGAGCATTAAATGCAGCAAACTATTGTTCGTGCTACATCTTAAAACTTGGAAACGTTCCCACAGGTCTGACTAATACTAATACTAATACAAAATTATAAAGTAGTCAGTACTGTATATGGCCAGACGGGTTATTTCACATTTTCTTATTCATATATCAGAAAATAACAATAAAAAAAGACCTTCACGAAGAACAGCTAGACTGGCGTGTATGAAACAATTATTCTTACTAAAAAGACACATAAGATGGCAGTTGAGATCAATAAGAACCTTTCTACATTTTAGATAGCCCTACTTTGCGTTAGATGTGTGCGTTGTGAATATTTTTTATACCAGATCTATTATAAAAATAAAGTCGGCCTACGTTGATTGTGTAACTTTTAAACTGGTATTTCCCCCATTTACCTTAATGTTGACCCTGCAAAATGTATATTGACACTTTCTGTCAGGTTATTAGCTCATAATCCTGATTTTAATGCAGAATGTAAATATTCTTTGTGGTGGAAACTTCTAAGTAGAACACTGAATTTCTTTCATCAAAAAATATGGTCGGTATGTGTGAAATAGTTGGCCATCTGTGAGAAAAAAAGTGCTTAAAAAGGATTACATGTATAATAAATATATGAACGCTGGTCGTTAAATTGGTATTTTGGTTTCTTTCTTGAATATATATATTCTTCAAAAAAAAAAGTAGGGAATGACAGAAACAATTTCAAACAATACAAAACTGCGGAAATGCACTGCTGTTTTTATTAGAGGTAACCAGTGTATGTTAATAACAGGCCAATTGCCTACACATGGACATAAACAGTTCATATGGGCGGCTTATCTGGCGGACCCATTTCACTCGCAAAGAGATACACTGTCAAAAGTGAAAATGGACGTTTTTGATTTTTGTCTTAATTATGAGTAATTGCTCCACCAATCCTCAGACATTCAGCAATTCGTCGTGGCATGATCCTAATTAACCGTCCAATCACGATTTGGTGCAATCTGACCCACTCCTCTTGCAGTGCCACGGCCAATTCTTGCAGTGCTGTCGGTTGACGTTGACGTCGACGAACACGTCTCTCGATCAAATTAAACGTAACACATTAAAGCCAAACGGTAAATCTTATGCAAGAACCGATAGGAAAGTAAGCATGGATAGATAAATCAGCACGCGGCAGTTTTCATCAACTCTTACGGTTGACGTTGACGTCGAGGAACACGTCTCCCGATCAAATTAAACGTAACACACTATAGCAAAGATACGCTAAACAGTAAATCTTATGCAAGAACCGATAGGAAAGCAAACATGGATAGGATAAACCAGCAAACGGTAGTTTTCATCAAACCCTTCCTTGATGTCAAATTTGACGATGAACATCTCCCACGTGTATGGCGATATTGCGTGTCGCATGTGCAGCTCAGTGTTTCTGTTGGGGCGATAATTTCTTCATCTGTGAACATACTCTCAAAGCATGTCAAGTGTCCATGACTATTTATCATATCACAACCTGCATAGGTATTTGCATTTCAATATCCCCTACTTTTTTTGAAGAGTATATATAGGCCATTAGTAAAATCTATGATATAGGCCAAGACTAAAAAATTGTGGTCTGACCCTCAATGTTTGGTTTGAAGACTTACTTCCCTTCGTTAATTCTTTTCACTAATAAAATTACGAATCACCTACACTTCCGTTTCAACAAAAGTGCTCAATTTTCGTCATGCAAACAAAATATTTAATAAAACATTTCATTATTATTTGTAACATTTGCATTGTAGATGTATAAAAAGTTTATTTCCTCACCAGTTTGTAGATTTAATACACTATTTTCTTTATCAAATTCGGTGACAACACGAAATCTATTGCGTTCTTCGACCGATGCCTTCTATAATACGCGTGTTGATTATCCAACGATTTACACAGTCACGGGCTTATTTCAACTGTGCAGAAGATATACATGTGAAACAAACATGCCGAAGCTTCCACATAAAAAGGAAAAGCTAAGGCATATCAAAATTAAAGAGAAGACGGGTGGTCAAGTGGCTAAAACAATTGATATTCATGTTATTGGCAGTGGTGGTGATGGTAACCCACAATCTGTAATGATATCAACATGCCAGTCAAGGTAGGCCATCACAGTACACACATAGTTATACTGTTTGTTACTTTTATCTTTCGAAACTTTTCTTTTTTGCAGCACAGAGCCTACTTTGATAAGGTTATTGATATTCATGACATTAGTCATGATATAAAATAGGAGCTTTTACGAAATGGTGCGGGAGCTATAAAAAACTCTTGCCAATTAAAAAATGGAGAAAAAAGCTCCCGTAAAAAAAAAAAAATCTTCTTAATTATATTGCAAGAGTAATTCTACATTGTATTTATATACTTTAGTTTTGTCTCATATTCTCTTTATTATGCCATTCAATGTAATGTATGTTTCACGTATTTTCGTCAGTTTGATCTATTTTTCAGCGTGCTTCTTAGTGCAGAATTTGCACTATTAAGTCTAAAGACCAAACCAATTTTACAAACCCATTTTTGCCCTCCAGTAATTCCAATTTTAAAATGTTGCATATTCGGCTGTTTTGACCATCTCCAGACATATTGATAGCGATAATCAATGCATTGCCAATGAGACAAGCCGTACATGAAAAAATTTGAAACAACGTAATGTTATTATATTAGATGTACGTCATTCTGTCATTCCCACGGATATTCTCCATCAACATCTGGCAATATATTAGGCTGTCAAGTAACATCATATTCTATTGGCTGGTTTTAGACTGCTATCCAATTAAAACGAGCCTTACATTAGCATTCAATATGTTTGATGAATAATTATGGCAGCCCTAGTTTTACCATGAAAATGCTCATCACTCGAGGAGGAGGTCATTATACTCGAATATATGTAGTTTTAAAAATAAACAAAAACCGAAATATGAATCTCAATATTTAGGAGAGCGATTTAGCTAATCAGCGGGCATATTTAATGACTCCCCCGAAGATAAGTCGAGGCGCGTCGGGAGGCGCAAGAGCGAAAGCGCGCCTTAAACGTGAAGGACTGCAAATGTAGGCCTACATCATCACATGTGTTTAGGCTTACATGGATTTACATGTCATTTCTGTCTCGCGTCATTTTGGACTTGGGAATAAGTTAAAAGGAAAGGATGAACACAACTGTCAAATCAATTTATAATAATTTAAAGCTAAAAAAGATTTTATAAAAATAACATGTAGGTAAGTACATACAGCACATGGAGTCGTGGATCATGCACCGTATAGACCTCTTAAGGAACGGCAAAATTTCCAAATAATAGAATGTTTTATTTCTTTATAAATCTTTAATACTGTATGTATGTAAAAATGTAGCCAATGAATTAATTAGAAATAGGCCAAAGGCTAATTAACAACACGAAAGAAAATATTAACATGAAACACGTTATTAAAAGGCTCCACCAAACGATAAAACATTAGCTGCACTAATGGTTTTTTGATAATCATTGTTTCCCGTAAAAGTAATACAATGTAATTATTTTTTTTAAAAACAATAATATGAAGTAAATACTGTATTTACATGACATGCATGGTTTTTAAAAGTCCCTAGAAATTTTTAATGATAATCTGTAAGCTGCACATTGACATGCATTCCTCGACAAGCTTGCCATAGATGGCAGTACCAGTCGATAAATTAGTGCGTACAAAGAAAAGTCTTTCAGGAAAATATAAGAAATGGCAACTATCAAAGTGTGATAATTAAAGCTGATTAACCAATAATCTTGATGTTATTGTAGTATGTGCAAAGAAACCTTAGCAGCGATCGGTCAGTCAAGCTTGTTTACTGTTTGATAAAAGAAAAACGAAACAAACTAGAACAAACATTGTTAATATTTTATTAGCGGTCTCAACAAATGCAGATCAATTAAATAAAACAAAAGACAACTATCGGCCTCACATAAAACAAAAAACCCCAACAAAAACAGCTATTATATGGAAAGATCCACACAAACATTTTTATTTGTAAATATTCCACGGATCTAGCTATGTGGTTTTTACTGCGAGAACTTCGCTTTTCCACATTAAACAGTGGATTCTTTTTCCCACAGGTTTTTTTCAATCCGCTGTGATGGCATCAAACAGCTGGACCTTCTGTTTTAACTTGTTTTCATTATGACAAAGTGAGAAGATGACTCGCCCTCCCTTCCCACGACAACGATTTTAAAACTGTGTTTTAAAGTGACTTTTAGATATACAAGAACTTTTTATTTTTTAGTGTTTTTACCTTCTCACGACAGCTATTTTAAAACTGTGTTTTAACGTGACTTTTAGATATACAAGAACTTTTTTTTTTAGTGTTTTTACCTATCTTCTATATATTACTCATTCATATGTAAATAGTTTAATTAAATCAACCGGTCTATAATATCATACCTTATGTATTGGATGTTAAATTTGTAATAAACAACAACAACAAAACAGCTATTAGTATTACTAATATAGCACACATATTTTCAACAGTCTTTTAATTATCAATCCGAAACCGAGTCTGAACTGTCGCCAAACCGAGTCCGAAAAGTCGTCAAGTAAGTCAGAAGTGTCATCAAACCGAGTCCAAAAGGTCATCTGTGTCAAGTCCGAAATGTCGTGCTACCCATACATGACATGTACATGTACCTTTGCAAAGGCAATTTACACTGTACCTTATGTCTTCACAGCCCAGCTTGTCCAGAACTGGAGGTTGTTGAACCTCATTTCATTTCAATACTTTGAATCTCACTTTCATATGTTAGTCGAGCAGACAATGATATAAGGATTGGAATTGTTTGTTATATAGCAGTTATAGGTACAGTAGAATCTGTATGAGCAGCCACTCCTATTCAGCGACATCTCCTTGTAAGCGGTCACGATAAATTCCCCCCGTAGAAATTCTGTTGTTTCATTTCTTTATTCAACGGTCACTCCTCTAACGCGGCCAGCGGTCACTATTTTACTAATAAATTCAACAAAACATCGCCCATTCAACGGCCATTGTTGAATGATACCATCTTGTCGTTCTTTGTAACACCCCCGCTAATCCCGTGAGTAGTAGTTAATTAACTGGACCCCCACTGATCAGGTAAAAAGAAATGTAAAAATAACAATCAACCCGGGATTATCTGTTAATTAATCTTTTGTTTTATTAAACGACTACCTGATCATTGTTTTCACGCGTAACGACACATTATTTGATACTGATTGAATAAAATAAAAGTACCGAGTTTTGTCACGATCATCTAGTATCTCTCTTAGCGCCTCTTATAACATTACATACAGAGTTACACCCCCTGTAAATAGGTGATAAAATTAGCGATGTTTTTTGTTCATGTGCTTTTTTGATAAAATAAAATGAATTCATCGATTTTCTTCACAAAAATGGATAAATATTATCGAATGCATCACAATGGTAGACAGTAGTATCAAAGGTTGGTACAAAATGACAAGTTTACAGAAGTTATGTCCGAGATTTGAGTAAAGAATTTTCGTTCGGCGCAAGATTCAGCGACGGCCAAATTTACCGCTTCCAATGCATCCAAGCGTAATATTTAATTTATGTCAGCACAAAAAGCAACGAGATTTTATTAAGAGGCCACTCCCGTTAAGTTATGTCTGAGATTTGAGTAAAGAATTTTCGTTCGGCGCAAGATTCAGCGACGGCCAAATTTACCGCTTCCAATGCATCCAAGCGTAATATTTAATTTATGTCGGCACAAAAAGCAACGAGATTTTATTAAGAGGCCACTCCCGTTAAGCGGTCAGTTGTGAAAATTCACTTGGGTGGCTGCTTAATGCAGATTCTACTGTATATGTAGTAATAATCTAACAAGTTAGATATTGCTCTTTGATATTCTGATGATGTAACATCTGACATCCAAACGCAAAAGTTGATAACTAGTTTACTTCTTTCAGCTGAAGCCAAAATTCTAAATTTTCCATTACCGATATCTACATGGCTCACACATTAAACTTATATATCCAGTTCATTTATTTCACACAAAATCTTTTTTAACTGTTCATTTTACAAGATTTCCAAAAATTCATCGCCAACAAGCAACTGTTAACCATTAATTTATTAAACAGGAAATTCCAAATAGGATTCCACACGAAATGAAATTTATCTATTTTACATTTATTTTGAATATAAATTGATTTACTTTTTTATTGTAGTGATCTAAGTGGTTCTAAAACATTAATATTTGGTTCTATGTCCCAACAGACATAGTGACCAAAACACTGCAACATTATATACATGTAAAATATTTTGTTTCAAGTAAAATTTTTGAGACGTCACATATAGGTCAACCTATCCCTACAATAATGGTTGTCAAGTATAAATCTATTGATGTTTAGGATGTAAATGTGATATTGGAGGTCAATTGCTGATACTATTGTGAGTAAAATCATGCAATTTTTTTTATAGGTACATGTTTAATTGTGGTGAAGGAACTCAACGTATTGCTAATGAATTTAGGTAAGAAGATTGATCTTTTGTGCTTTAGTAAATTAGTATATCCTGTGGTACGGGAACTCTGACAACTTCTGATCGAATGTTCAGCTTGTCTAACTAGGAAGTTAAGTGGGTCTTGCATGGGACTGTCTCCTAGTTCAGAAGTAAAATAAAAAGCAAGGTTTTGTGTATGTATATATATTGGTTGTTCACTTATAAGTAAATCATCCCTTTGGCATTTGGAATTCAAGGCCAAAATTATCCTCCCACATATTCCATCTTATAACCAACCTCTCATTCGTAGAACAAACTTTGTACCTCTTTGAGTGGCATTTAGTAATTGTTCAGTAACACACTAATTTACTGCTTGATAAAGGCGAGATTATCATTGTCGAAACGTTGCTTGTTATTAAACCAGTAATTGTTATTCAATGAATACTTTTTTTTAGTGTGACAAACTATGTACTCTTAATTTGTCAAGTGCCACTACAAGAAGAATGGTTTTCATATTTAAAACCTGGGGTTTAAGGCTAATGTTTTTAAATTGACCTATGTTGATAAATTCATAGTACGTTAGGTGTAAATTATTTATTTTTCTGGGCTGATCTATTGTAGAATGAAGACTTCAAAACTGGAAAACATTTTCATTACCCACAAGAGTTGGAATAATATTGGAGGTCTACTGGGTAAGTTGGTGAAGAACATCCATGTGAAAAAAAAAGAGATTTCATTTGGTAAAATGATTGTTGTGCATGAAGTATCGCTTCCTACTAACATTACATTAGGAGCGGGGAAGTACATGAACTCATTTTAGTAATAATTTCCATCACAGCTGAACTTCTGACAATAAGTTATGTGTATCCATTGATAATAAGGTGTTTAAGTATTCAAATCAAATTCCAGTTAAGAAATAGCCTGATTACCCTGTCTGAATGGTTTCAAAATATGGAACCATTCAATAATGAAAGCTAGATTTTGCTTAATGGGTTACTTGGATAAATGAATACCTGGGACTGCACCATTACATATGCATGCAGTGCACTAATTTTAAATGCAGTACAATGGTTTGTCTTTTTTAGGAATGTGTTTAACATTAGAAGGTCAAGCTCTAACTAAAACTACCATACACGGACCTCCAAATGTTGTAAGTTACTCCCTGCTTCTCATGATACTCTCATCTTTATCAAATTGAATATGTTGTATGTTTTCATGTAGACTTTATGTTGGGAGTCAATTTTACATACCTGCTTACTGACAGTGGTTTTTATATGCCCACATTTTCATGTAGACATATATTGTCGTCACCCCTGTCTGGACGTTCATCCATCCACAATTTGTTTGTGGACAGTCTACAGGTAATAATTTTTATCCAATTTTGACGAAACTTGAAATATTGGTTTATCACACAAAATTCTTGGTTCCTTTTGACATTAGCATGTACCTGAACATAACTTCATGGATTATGGCCCCTGATTGTACGAAAAATCACATTTTATGCTTGCAGACACTCTACAGGTTACAATGTTTATCCGATTTTGATGAAACTAGAAATGTATGTTTATAACCCAAAATAGTGTAAAAGTATGGTATGACAAAGTTGTGGACCCACTAGAGGTCACAATTTTGCTGAAACTTTAAATTTTTGTTTATAATACAAAGATCTTCGTTCCTGTCGATATTCGTGCATATCAGTCCGTAACTTCCTGGATTATGGTCCCTGATTGTACAAAAAATTGCATTTTTTAAAAACTTGTCCTCTGTCTATCTCTTGCGTATGTTTATAACTAGTAGTCTTCTAAACTATATACCACAAATGAATTACAGTATGTTTTATTTCCAAAGAAATGGCCACCTCTTTTTAAAGGGTGTGTGGCTCTATTTTTTTTAACCTTGAATTAGAAAAAAAAAATGGTTCTAAAAGCCCATTAATGTAATATAAATGTATATAAAGTGATTTATATTCAATTTTTGAAAAAAATATTATAATTTTTAATCAATTATGTTTGGTGAAATATGTGAACAGTTCAAATTGAACGGCAGTCATTTACGCCTGCTTAGTGCATTCTACAGGTTTTTTAAATTATTATTTTGTCGTTTGTGAATCAGCCTTTACTAATTACTTCCACATTGTGTTGCTGTCTTGATTAGCCCAGTCGGAGCAGAACAGGAGGACGTTAAACCCCATTTCATTTTATTTCATTCCACATTGTGTTGTAGGATATGTTTTTATTTGTTCATTACAAAATGTCACCTAAAACCATAGGGTACACGACTCGTGTACTGATTATAAAATTTTATTTGTGTCTTAATTATTGGATTTTAGGATGCTATAGTTTCACAACAAGGTAACAATGTCAATATTGATTAAAATTGATCAATATTGAATTCTAATTCGTGTTTTTAATTTTGAATATTATGGAAAATATTAAGTTAGAGACTTGTCTCCTTTAAAAGCTGGAAGCCAAAAACTGTTACGAGAAATTGATGTGAACACTTTTTGCCCTAAGGTAGTACTATTTCTTTTTTTTTTTTTTTTTTTTTAGATATAATTCTTTTTGTAATTTGGGTTTTTTTAAACTCAATATTTACTGTTTATTTTGGTATGTTTCCCTTATTCATATCGATACATTTCAATTTGTTTTCTTGATCTATATAATTTTAGGAAAAGATAACCAGTATGAATAAAGGATTAGGTGTACAGCAAGATTTTATTCTAAGTATGTTAATATTTTCATCCATGTTTACTGTTGTAACTGTCACTTTACAGAAAAAGAGAGAATGTTGGTTTGTGGACATATATATTTTCAACTAAACAAACTTAAACTCCCTTTGAATATTTGTCTTTAGGCCCCCGGGTCCATTCACTTGATTTGATATTTGTTGTTTATTGTTTGCATTGTCTATGTAGTTTGTGTCTTGTCTGCAGGTTTGTCTTATCGGTTTTGTTTGTGTGTAGTGTGGTCATCCTGTACTGACTATTAAAGGCGTTTATAAATAGATCTTTAAAAGTGATGCAGTTCTGTCTTGGACACAGTCTTCGTCACAAAAACAATATCACAACTCCTTTAACACAATTCGGACAAACAGTATTTGAGAATTATAACATAAAGAAATACAGTCCTGTTATTTTCCATGTATGTATGTCAAATGTATTTTGATTTTATATATTTCATCTGCATTTCAGTGAAGAAAGAAATTGAAGAAGGATATTTTGACGATGAATCGTTTACAATTGAATATGTTCCATTTTATAGTGGAAACAAGAGTCCAAATTCAGCAGATGAATCAGAACCAGGTTCTGTATGTTTTTTAATACACTCATATTTAATTTGGATGTATACATGGTATTGAATGCAGTTGAAAATTTACAAGCCAAAAATTGTTTGTTGGCTGCTGTTGTAAGGTGGACATTATAAATATTTTATGATAATAATTAGGGTGTTTCTTCTGTTACAGCTAATAAAAAACGTAAAATGGATAATGTTGATGTATCTGTTGGTTATATCCTTACTGTAAGTATGATATTATTAAAAGTACATAGATGGCCTATATAGTCATTTTCCTTATTTCAATTTAATAAAATATATGGACTATATCTTGGGCTCAATATTCATGATAGAAATGCAATACAGTACAGTTATCTACTTTTCAATATGTTATCTCTTGATCAGAAATTTTAACATGTTTAAGTGTGTTTCTTAGTATAATCTAAATATTTGTCAGCTTATAAGATCACTGCTAGAGACTGGCTTCAGTTCTCTGAAGATACAAAATAAAAGCTTTTGAAAGTAACCTACTTGTAGATATTCCAAATTTCAATAGCAGGAAACCAGTATACTGTAGTGCAGATCTTAAAAATGTACTTATTAAACGTTACATATATATTGACAATGAAATATAATAATAAAACAGAGGTTATGCTGTAGTCATATGATTTGCAATATATTTTATGTTCATACACCACTTTAGCTAGTCAAATTTATTATATTCATTCTAGCCTAAAGCATGTAAAAGATCTTTATTACTAGATAAATGTGTAGAAGCTGGAGTTACACCGTAAGTTTACTTTTTTCTCTAAAATAAAGCAGTAATAATTATGTTTAAATAGTGCAATCATTGAGTATTATATGCATTATTACAATATAAAGTAAGTATGTACAAGTAAAGTCAATTATACTTGAGGAAAAATATTGATAACCTCTTTGGCAGAATTTTATTTGCTTGTCATGTTAGCCAATTCTTTGGTATTAATGGGGAGGTTGGGTGGGTGAATGGTTGAATACATGCGCTGTAGATCATGATGTTTGTCATTGAGTGTCCTCCCACTGCTAAAAGATAAACCTAAAGTTGGGCACCCCAACCCTTTTTTGCTTTGTTATATAAGTCCCTACCTCTGGGTTTTCCAACTTTATATTTAGCCTTATAACCCTCTCAAGGCTGTTACCTCGACACCCTTGTCTAACAATGTCACAATCCAATACCAGGCATCCTAGTTAGCACAAATATGGACACTAGCACTTCAATCGAAACAATCAGTTGTCAAATCTTTGCACAACCCCGGTAAGCGAGCTACCGATCCCGGTAATAAGTTTGCAAACTCTGCCAAGAGGCCAACCCCTGTAACCCTGCCAATATAACACCTTGGAAACCCCCTCCAGGGTTTTCGAATAGTATAAATAAAAAAGCCTGCCACATAAGTCCATTCAGTCTGAAGAGTTTAAGAGCGTGTCCGCGAGAACACCATGCAGAAGGTGATAAGGCTTCAATCACAGATTTTGACCAAATTTGGTTTATAAGTTGGGATAGTCCCAAAACACATAAATGTGCAATATCAGATATATCTTTCAATTCCTGACTGAGAAAACTGAAAAAACATTTTTCATATGGTGAAATTGCCAAAATCTGTCTTTTCTCAAGTACCAACTTTAACAAGTCCTCACATCCTTACTATACGTAGGAAAAAGACCAAACTCACACAGTTTGTAGATGACCTAGTGCTGTTACCACAAAATTAATTTCAGACGATTCTGATCTGTACACAGAATGGATATCAAAACCTATCTAAATTCCCTATTTTTCATCACCCAAAGTTTGACGCCCTATAGCTACTTCTTTCATCGGGTGGGTTCAAAAAATTTATGCACACGTGAACAAGCAACCTCCTAACATTTGATACAAAAAATAAAAATGACCGGAATCGACTTGACATAAACTAGGTAATGGTAACAATAACCCATGAAATTAACCTGTAATTTCCCTATTTTGGAGATAATTAACCGTAGTAGATAAAAAAAAAAAACTAACAATTTTGTTTCCTTTTCATTCATAGGGTGTTTACTACCAGCCCTAAAACACATTAGTATCTGTTTTATAAAAATGTCATGAAAAAATACTTTAAAAGGCCTGTAATCAATCATTCATGGTTCATCTGGCGTCGACGGGAATTGGCTTCCGTAGTTGTCCACGAGCTTCCATTGGAGTTTCGACGTGCTCAATGAAATGATCTTAGCAAAACATATCCATTACTCTCAAATAGACATTATTTTAAATAAAATAATCCAAACAAAAATGAAAAATTCACCTAAAAGTGAGATCCGAACCACCAACCGCATGATTGCCCTCGACCCACCCCCTCACCGAGTTGCTTGTCCCAAGGTCCATGTCGCGGGCCCTGTTCAGGGGGATGCCTAGGGCCTCTCTTATTTCTAAATCCGGCCCTGAAGGTGTAGCTGATGGCGCCCGAGAGCCGTAGCTACCATGCAACACTGTTTGTCACACACTTCGACGCAAGGCTGCGTTGCCATTAAAATTTAAGCTTCCACATTTCTGTATTGTAGAAATGAGTGGAGGTGTCCCAAAATGAATATTGGAAACATGCTCTGAAATTGAACATTTTGTAGCCATTTTCGGTGACCGGTTGGAAAATGAAACTTTAAAGAGACAATACAACAAATATGTTAAAGGGACAATACGACAATACCAAATATACAATAAATACAAATATACACACATATACAGTACCACATGGTACAAATGGTGGATATGGATTTGATGAAAATGTATAAAAGTAAAAAAAAAAATTTCTCTAATTAAATTTGCAAAAAAATGTATCACAAAAGCTTATTTTTAGAACTTTTCAATAAGCTCTATATTGTAAGAATGTTGCATTCCGGTCATTTTTTTTTACACCTATTGATACTATGTGCTTAGCACTTCAAAACCAACCCACGAAATTCTACTTGCAACCATGAAAGAAAAAGTTACAGTGTATCTTATTCTGTACTATAGGGACAATGTGAATATGGTACCCTAAAACAAGTCCACAAATAATTAGTATGGACTGATTTTTCTTATTCAAATTAGTGCTGGGCTGGAAGTTGACCACCCGCTTTATCAGACAGGGTCCAAATTAGAAGGTTGCTATTGCACAATAGAATGCAATCTGTGCTCAAAAATGGTGATAAATACACATGTGAAAACCAAAATTTTACCCATAAAATGACTATTTCCAGTACAGTCCTTTATAGCGACATCATGTTGTAACCACTTCAGCATGTCACTTCTTGCCCCTAGGGGGTGTCATACCATAAGTTTGATCAAAAACTTCCGCCCCCCCATCTTAGCACTTTTTGCGATTTTTGCCTGGTCTTCTCGCAAATACACTCTTAATACAAATGAAACTAGTCACTAACATGCGGGATAACCAGCTCTTCATAGTCACTCTTATCTCTCATATTATTATATGCTGACATTTTTAAAGTTCTATAACCTTGCTCAAAGTATCTTTGTTTTTTTTTGTAATGACAGGGGTCCTCTTTTTTCGCGATTACAGAAAGGAGAATCAATAACATTAGAGAATGGAAATGTTGTAAGTACTATATACTGATACTGATAGACATAATGTTTTAAAAACTGAGATGGATATAACAATCTAAAAACTGAGATAACAAATGTTTTAAAAACTGGGATAGACATTATGTTTTAAAAATTGAGATAGCATAATGTTTTAAAAGTTGAGATAACATAATGTTTGAAGAATTGAGATAGACATTATGTTTTATATGCAAGCTTAAAAAAATTAAACATACATAATGCAAGAGCTAAATCTGCCTATTGCAGGTCTTTCTTTAGGCCTGAAATGTTTTCTAAATTATTAATTAGACATTAATTAACTTATCCAGGCCATAATCAACTCTCGATGGCAATGGATTTCTCCGATATTAAATAGATTAGAACAGTTCAGCCATCTTTTGATTCAAGCTAAAAATGGAGGAGCGAGATTTAGCTTCGAACAACTAGTACGGTGGCTGAAATTTTCAAATTATTCATTTTACATTATCTATTTTCGAACTATTATAGCAAGAATGGCTAGCTCTTTATCTAAATCTTACATAATGTATCTTTAATGTTTTACAAAACTAAATATTTATGGTAAATAGATTGGAATGAATACGTATACCACAAACATAGTTTTTTTTATAAAATTTAATGTGAATGAAATAAAATAGGTTTAACATCGCCTGTCCAACCTCATAGGTTTCTCCGGGTCCTCTGGTTTCCTCCCACTGCTTTATAAAGACCCCTATGCGCAAGCAAATTATTGAAATAAAATTGAACCATATGTTAGTCCCAAAATGACCTAGTTTATGTTGAGTGAATGTTAAACCCCTTGTAGTTTATTATTAGGGAAATTGTGTTTAGACATTGGTGTTGTCTACTTTTTTTGTGAACAAACTCAAATATTATTTATTTACATTACTGACAGGTTCATCCTGATGATGTTTTAAAACCACATGAAGCTCAGAAAGCAATTATAAGTAAGTACCCATTTTGATTAGACCTATTATTTTTATACGCCCACATTGAAATGAGGACGTATATTGCCGTCGCCCCCGTCCGTCCGTCTGTCTGTCGTTCCGTCCGTCCATCGTCCACAATTTCTTGTGAACGCTCTAACACCAAAAGTTATCATCCAATTGTTTTAAAATTGATATATGTTTTTTACATTTGTAAGATGAAGAAGCCTATTTAATTTCAATAATTTCCGTTTATTACGTCTAGATTTATGGCCCTTGTTTCACTTTGTTGAACCTTGTGAACGCTCTAATGCCAAAAGTTAACATACAATCTTTGTGAAATTTATATGCAATATTTAAGTTAGTGAAACGAAGAAGCCTATTGAATTTCAACAATTTCTGGTTATTACGTCTAGAGTTATGGCCCTTGTTTTACTTTGTTGAACCTTGTGAACGCTCTAATGCCAAAAGTTAACATACAATCTTTGTGAAATTTATATGCAATATTTAAGTTAGTGAAACGAAGAAGCCTATTGAATTTCAACAATTTCTGGTTATTACGTCTAGAGTTATGGCCCTTGTTTTACTTTATTGAACCTTGTGAACGCTCTAACTCCAAAAGTTATCATCCGATCTTTCTGAAATTTACGTGCATGGCTTAAATTAGTGAAACGAAGAAGCCTATTGAATTTCAGCAATTTCCGTTTATTACGTCTAGAGTTATGGCCCTTGTTTCACTTTATTGAACCTTGTGAACGCTCTAACGCCAAAAGTTATCATCTGATCTTTCTGAAATTTATATGCATTATTAAGATTACTGCAACGAAGAAGCCTATTGAATTTCAGCAATTTCTGTTTATTACGTCTAGAGTTATGGCCCTTGTTTCACGTTATTAAACCTTGTGAACGCTCCAACGCCAAAAGTTATCATTCGTTCTTTGTGAAATTTATATGCATTATTTAGATTAGTGAAACAGAGAAGCCTATTGAATTTCAGCAATTTCCGTTTATTACGTCTAGAGTTATGGTCCTTGTTTCACTTTATTGAACCTTTTGAACGCTCTAACGCAAAAAGTTATCACCCGATCTTTGTGAAATTTATATGCATGATTTAAATTAGTGAAATGAAAAAGCAAATTGAATTTCAGCAATTTACAATAATTACTTCTATAGTTATTGCCCTTGTTTCACTTTGTTAAACGACAAAATTTATAATCTGATCTGTATGGAACTGTCTTGTAAAGGCCCCCAATTACCTACAAAGGAATAAATATGCGACAACCCTTGATGACCGCTCGGACGATTTAGCTGCTGTGGGTGTATGTTTTGTTGCCTGGCAACCTATCTTTAATACATGTACACCATTTCCAGGTGCAACTGATCCATATTTTATCATAAGACAATGAATCAAGTTTTTTATGTGCTGTTGTATTTTCACCTCATCGAAAGTTTAGATTAAAGTTTGTCTATAACCCTTTTAAACAAGCGATCACCCTCTTTAAGTTTTTTGATGAGTTTTTTTTTTTAATCCAATTGAAGCCAGGATATTATATACCGTTGATATTTTGATTTTTTTTTCTCTTAGTTATCAAAATGATTTCATTTATCGAGGATTATGCTGTGGAAAATATGATTTCTTGCATGAAAAAAACAAATGACAGTCAACTGCTTTAAAGTTCTGTCTATGTTGTCTTAATGTTGGCTGATATTTCATATCTTAACACATACTTGATTTTGAATGGCGATTACGGTTTACTATGTGAATCTAATTAATCCAGCATTTAGAATAAATTTATTTCTATATACAGTTGTAGAATGTGTTAGTAGTGAGTTTTTACCATCATTGATGTCGAGGAAGGAATTTGGACGGTATACAGATGACAAAGATAGAACAGATGATGATACAGCTGAATTAGTTATACATCTGACACCTGTTGAAGTTTTACAGTCATCACAATATCAACAATGGATAAAAAGGTAAACTATAATTACTATGAAAAATATATCAAACACTTAAAATTTAATAAAAATGACTACCGTAGATGTCTTTTGTTTGGGTACAAACAAAAAATTGTTGATTCATGTCTATAGATAAAGTCAATGTTGAGGTATAATCAATTTTGTGTTTCACCATCTACACAGTGGACAATTAAGCTGACCAATGCTTTAACTTTTGAAACAAAAAAAGTTATTGTATATATCTTAACCCATCATATATAACATTTTATGTTATTATGTATTGGCATTTGCTTTGTTTTTCTTTGTCAGAAGTTTCATATTACTCCTTTAAAGCATTGGGTCGGTTATAATTTAATATATTCTTTAAAAACTGATTAGATATATAACAAATCTGCTTTAAAGGGACATTTTTTTAAATGTAATAAATTTTGATATCAAATTTAATATACCATAAGACTGATTATCAGATATCTGAATGTTTTTTCTAATAATAATAATTAATTGTCTTCTTTAGTGCTACATCATGTCCAAGACACTGATTTATGTAACAAGCGTTTGTAACAAATGGTCAACTATCTCTGCAATGGATTAATTAATTTAATTTGAACATCAATGAAGTGAATCTATGTCAAATTGAAAAATATATTTTTTACCCATTCTTGTAAAAATCCAAAAGTGTACATACCTCCTTATAATTGTTAAAAGTTTCTCCAATCACTATCATAAGATCTAATATGGTTTGTTTTGCAGTTTTGGAGAGAGCACACAACATATTATATTAAATAGGTCAGCATCTGATGTTTGTCATACTGCTGTGTATAGACTACAAACTGTATTAAATTTGTTACATCCACAAGTTTTCCCTTTATTGCCCAGTCAAACTTCACCTAGACCTATTATATCTCCAGATAGTAATAACATTCATCTAGCACATACAAACCTCATCTATAGATATAGACCGTCTACAGGATTTATCACGTAAGTAAAATTTCAGTATTTCACAGAATCTGTTGGTTTTTGAATTAATTCATTTCAATTGTGTCTTTCTTGTATCCATTGCTAAGGTTTTTGAATGCACCCACATTTTCATGTGGACGTGTATTGTCGTCGCCCCTGTCCGTTCAAAATTTGTTTGTGGACACTCTACAGGTCACAATTCTTATCTTATTTTGATGAAACTTGAAATATTGGTTTATCTCGATATTGGCATATATTGGATCAAAACTTTGTAGATTATGGCCCCTGATTGTATGAAAAATCACATTTTTAGCTTGTGGACACTCAATGGTCACAATTTTCATCTGATTTTGATGAAACTTGAAATACATGTTTATAACCCAAAGATCTTGGTTCCTTTCGATATTTGCGCATATCGGATAGTAACTTCCTGGATTATGGCCACTGATTGTACAAAAAAATCGCTTCTTTTTTTGAGCTTGTTCTCTGTCCATCTGTTGCCAGATGTTAGCATATCTTGCATGCCAGCCACTTGTTTTGTTTTACTGTGTCAATGTGTTTGTTTTCATTTTGAGTGAAATATAATTGAATCATATGTTAGTCCCAAAATGCTTATGCCAATGCTGCATGGTTTTGATCCCAAGCTTGTAGTTGACAAGGAGTAAGGTTGCCTGCTCAACCTCATGGGTTTTCTCTGGGTATTCCAGTTTCCCCGACTGCTAAGGACACCTAAGCGCAAGTGAATTATTGAAATAAAACTGAATTAGTACCAAAATGACCTAGTTTGAGTTGAGTGGTCGATAATTTTAAAATGAACATCTAGGTTGAATGAAAGTAAAACCTATTTCTATATACTTTTAAAAGTGAATTCCAACACATGTTTTTAATTTGACCTTTTTTTTAAACACATTATTAAAGTGACCAAGGCCCAAATTTAAACACATCAATATTTGAGAAAGAGGCAAAAACAAAAGAGGATGTTATACCATTATTAAAAGAACTGAAAAGGAAAATGAAAGAAGTAGATACTACTAAATATAGTGGTAAGTGAAATGGCATTAATCAGTTTCTTATGTAGTCTAGAAATATTTGTCACTGTTCCTGATGTAGACTTTTAAAACTTGTTTACATTGTTCATTATGTTAATACGAAAAGCCTCTTGAATTTGCAAAGCATTTGTAAATTTTTAACGTTTTTGAAGCTTCATCTTTGTAGTCATAAAGTTTGTGACTACATTTCAGGGCAAATTTATCTTTAAAAAAATGAATAGTGGCATGCATCTTCATTGTAAATGTTTAGTTTATAGAATCATAATAAAAATTCTCTGGCGCGGTCTCCCCTTGTCAATGGTGCAGAACGGGGGCCTGATAAGGACAGCTGTCTAGTCATTTGGATGGGACAAAAAACCAAGGTCCCGTTTAAACATTGGCGCACACATACAAAATCCCTTGGCAGTTGGAATTCGATATAAGGGAAGACTGTAGTGCCACTGTCCGGGCAAATTTTCCCTCATCATAGCACAGTGCATGGTGTATGGAGCTGAACAGTAGGATGTTAAACTCCATTTCATTTCATTTCATAATGAAAATTCAATACTTTTTAACACATGATAATTTATGTCCATTCTCTTGACTTTCTTCTGTCTTCATTTGTCTAATTATATGGTTAAGGATTATGTTTGTATCATTTACAGATAAACCGTATCCAGAAGTTGTGTTTTTAGGAACTGGAGCATCTATGCCTTGTAAAGATAGAAATGTTAGCTGTATATTAGTTAGATTAAAGTAAGTTACAATTAATATTGTAAATACATCAATTATATTAAAAGTTAGATGAGATGAATCATTTGTACTTAGAAAGGTAAAAAGAGATCACTACCAAAAAAATGTTGCAGAACTAATCTGTGGCATGAGTATTAAAGTTAACCCTTTGGCACTTAGATCAGCCAAAACTACTGCTCAGTTAGTGTCTCTAACCGATTGAGCCACTGGATAACTGTAAACTATATATATATAAGGATTATATACTAGTTCTTTTTCAGGGAACAGGGTAGTCAATATTTACATGTACCAAGTGCTAAAGGATTCATAGAACAGTAATCTAAAGTGTCTCAGGGTGCATGTAAAAGAACCCTGTAGGCCGTAGATCTGCTGTCTGGGCAAAGTTTTCCTCATATCACACCACATGGATTATATCCATCTTCATTATCCCGCTTGCTTCAAAAGATAAATTTTTGGTTTTTTTTGTTTCAGTAAAGAAAGTAATGTTTTATTAGATTGTGGAGAGGGTTCAGCAGATCAAATCTATAGACATTATGGTAGTGAAACTGATAATATATTGTGTAATTTAAAAGGTGTTTTTATTTCACATATGCATTTGGATCATCATCTAGTAAGTAATATGGGACTTAGGTTTATCTTAGTGTGCTGTTTATATATATCCAAAGGACACTGTAAAGATAATCAGTTGTTTATCATAAATAATTTAAACTCCTGAATATTGAATATACTGGTACTGCGACTGGGAACTTAGAGGTCATTATTAATTAGCAAACAAGTTTCACTTTCCATGCATAGATCAAACTTCTTTCTGGAATGACCACTGATAGGATGTGTTCAGATTCTATTTGAGACCACCATAAGACTGACTGGTCCCTGTCACCTTTCCTATTGCCATCAAACTATCAAACTACCGAGAAGCCGCAACTAAATTCAAGCCCATACCTTGTCCGGATTTCCACAGATTTAGGTAGAGCATAGAAATGACTAGGACTAATTATGTTTATACATTCATGATCTGTGGATTGTCAATTAATCATAGATGACATGTACGATGTGAAGAATGTGTATGTGATACTGTCATTACATAGTCAATCAAAATAGTCAGTTCACCTAAGTCCTAAATTCATTATGTTGCAGGGTGTTTTTAATGTTGTTCAAAAACGTAATAAAGCATTTGAAAGAAATGGATTGCCTAAGACTCCTGTTTTAGTTATAGCACCAGGATTTATGCAGAAATGGATTGAATTTGTTGATGAAAACCTAACACCTGTCTTGAAAGATATCAGGTAATGATAATTTATTTCTAAATATTGGGATTGACACTTTTTTTTGGAATCAAATACCTATACTTTCTGAATTTGATAATAAAATGTTTCATATAAAACAAGCTTTATTTTTAGAAAGAATTTAACATAGTTTATTAAAATTTCAAATTAAAGTATTTTACTCGTCTGTATTCATGAAATTGTTATCATTATTGCTAAAAAATTATATAATTAAATTTCAATGATTTATATATCAAGATATTCTGTAGTAATTATCTTATTCATATTTTGTGATCTCATTGTTTGAAATGCATATTATTTTAGATTTATACCAACCCATAAGCTAACCTCAGCTGAACTATGTAATGACAGTATGAAATTAGTTCTATCAATGCTACAATTACAAAAGGTTAGTACATGAATAATGCAACATTACAGGGTTTTCAAAGGTATTGTAGTTAAACAGAATTTGGCTCAAAGCTGACTGCATGGTCATTCCATGTCAACTCAAGCGGACCAAAGTCTAAGAAATATTATGAAAAAAATATATGTTATTGTACATACAAACTTATATAAAACGGCAAAGTTATAGGACCCTAGCAATAATATTGACTGAAATATGGCCTTTTGAATAAGAGGTATCTCCCTTGAATGAATGTGGTGGGGGAGTATACATAATTAGGGGAATAAAGAGAACTATCAAAATACAGGTTATAGAAGTGATGTGAAGTCATGAGATTGCTCTCACAGGGTGTGATTTGATGATAATCAGAGCATTGGAAGTGAGTTCCTTTTAAATGGGCAAAAAGTGTAAATATTTTAACATGTTCCAAATCTTTCATTTTCCATGTTTTTGATGGTGAATTATAAATTTATGGTACCCCACCTGTCCAATATTGATGCATAATTTTTAAGTAAACAAAAATGTTCTTAGAAGGTCTTGTTTCATGATGATCAGGCATTAGTCATTGATTATCTTACCAAGACCATAATCAACACTGGATGCCTCCGATATTAAGTAGATTTGAATATGTTTTGCGGTTGATGTGGTTACCGTAAAAATGGATAATAGAGAATTTGTTTATTATCATACCAACGGTAGCAATGACAATCAAGGCTTGACTATAATTGTATTGCCGATGGCTAGGCTCAGAGTGGAGTAATTTGAATGAAATATATTCCCTTTTCACTATCTATTTGTTACCTATTACAGCGATGACAGTCAGGGGCCTGTTTCACCAAATTTTAATTAAGATAAAATCCAAATTTTAGTTATTTTATTGGATAATATTAGATTGATTTTAGTGCTCAGCCAATCAAAATTGAAGTATCTACTAAAATTTGGATTTTATCTTTAGTTAAAATTTCGTGAAACAGGCCCCAGCTCTTTATATCTAATCTTACCTAATGCCACTTTAAGTGGTAAAATATCAAAGATGGGCCTTTCACCATTAATAGACATTACCCCAAATTTCGAATTTTTCATGGAAGGCTCCAGTGAATGGTTACCATTTGAAATACAGAGATTTTAGCAATTTTGCGATATGGGCTGATTTTCAAATGATATGGCTTCCAATATGTCTGTTCTAAAAATACATATTGATGCACTATACATGTGACAAATAATAACCTCTAATATACTGTAGCAAAATTCCTACATTGTTTAGAAATATTGATATTTTTTTCTCACAAGTAATGATTTTTGGCACTTAATGCATGCCATAAATAGTCGACAGTACTTGTTCGGAAAATCTGATGGAGGATTATTAATCTACATAAAAATTTCTTCCAAATCCCCAAATTTGATCAATATTATCCAACTAGAAGATATAAAACTAGTACACCAAAACCAAGTCAAAGAATAGTAGTTTCAATACTTGCAAATGGGTACCTAGATTCAAAAGGCCATATGTCAGTCAATTTTAAGGCTAGTGTCCTATAACTTTGCTGTATTACATGTATTTAGTATGTACTACTACTATAACATATATTTTTTTCATAATATTCTGAGGGAGGTCATACGACAAGTACTGGTTCACTTGACATGGAAAGCCCAACAGTTTTGACGGAATGGCAAGCACAAGTTTCTAGCTCTGGATGGACATGAACCTTGTTACATATTTAATCCGTAAAAAAAATATTCTGGTTCTCTGATAATCCTTCCCAATAGTCTGATGTGAGATGAATGTTTTTATTATCCGTCTGGATTTCGTTTCATGAGCATATCTCATAAACCACTCGAGATACCTTTATGAATTTTGTACACACTTCAACCTACTATAGTAGTTGTGCCTTTTGCTAATTTGAAATTTCTTGGTTAATCATGTTTGTGTTTCAGTGGAAACAAATTTGACTTAGTTTTTGGTATACAATTTAATTCAAGAGCATATCTCATAAACCGTTCAAGACATCTTTATAAAACTGTATATAAGCATCTAACTACAGTAGTTGTGGCTTTTGGTAATTAGAAATTTCTCGGATTTAATATTTTTTTTGTTTCCATAGAACATATCTTGCCATCCACTCAAGATATCTTTATGAAACTTTGTACAAACAGTAACCTATCATTTTTGTGTTTCCATGGAAGCAAATTTCGTCCCAATTTCGTTTCCGAAGTATATCTCATAATCTTCAAATATCTTTATGAAATTTGGTACACACTTCAACCTTGATTGGGCTTATTTGCGGTCTGACAATTGCCAATCCAAAGTGCCATTGTCCAGCATATATGGATGAAACCGAATCAGTATTCAATATTAGTTCATGTATGTGTTTAAGAGTTGGTAACTATAGCATGAAATCGTGTTTTTCAGTTCTTACCTGTAGAAGTTAAGCATTGTAGACATGCTTATGGTGTATGTATAGAATCAGATGAAGTAAAATTAGTTTATTCTGGAGACACAATGCCATGTGATAGGCTTGTTACAGCAGGTATGTGCATTTTGCCTGCATATTTCTTCGGGAGTTGGGTGGGGGGGGGGGCAAATGATCTAATGCACGTGCCTTAGATTGTAAGGTCTGTTATTGAGTCAAGTGGCCTGGTTTTGATCACACACTTGTATGTCACAAGATATGGGGTCACCTGCCTAACCTCGTGGTATAACGTGTGCATATGAAATCACAAGGTCTGTCATTGAGTCAAGTGGTGTGGATTCGATTCCCCCCTTTTAAGTGACAAGGTGTAGGTTGCCTGTCCAACCTTGTGGGTTTTCTCTGGGTCCTCTGGTTTATTGATATAAAATTGAACCATAAATTAGTCCCAAAATGACCTGGGTTGTGTCGAGTGGACGTTAAACCCCTTTCTGGTTTATTGATATAAAATTGAACCATATATTAGTCCCAAAATGACCTGGGTTGTGTCGAGTGGACGTTAAACCCCTTTCTCTCTCTCTCCACATGTTGGACTCTAATTTCTCAGTTAGTTTCAAGTTTTTTGTTGGTTATCAGGTTTATGTAGGATTTACAGAATTGATATTGACTAGAAACAATGAAAAGGAAATTAGTCAAGACATCAATATAATGTTATTTTTGTTCTTTTTACTAGTTTAGTAAAGAATTCTATTATTAAAACCTACACTGTTGTCAATACTATGAAGACAAATGTTGCAAAGCAAACATGGGGTATGGGACAGCTGTGTAAAGGTGCTTTACTGTGATAGGCTGGTCATGTTCATACAAAAGTAAACTCTCAGAAGTGTATTGTCATAATACGTGTGATGCAAACAGTTGGGTCCAACATATATTTGAAAATGTTCTACAGCTGCACAAACTTTCTGGATTACATTGATATAAATGGACATATAGTGGTCTGTCCCTTTGGTGATACATGTAGTTGTCTCCCTTGGCACATTTCAAGTAATATTTTTCTTTGTGTTTAAATATACAAATAATATGATACACATACAGGTGCTGATTGTGATCTGTTAATACATGAAGCTACTATGGAAGATGATTTGATAGACGATGCTAAATTTAAAACTCACAGGTCAGTAAGTAATTAGTGAAATAAATATTGCATAAATATTTTGTAATTTTCTTATTATATGTGGTCTATATTTTAAAGAAAAGTATAATTTTAATATACAGAGCTGAATATAGGCATAAGCTAAACAACTGACTAGGGCCTCCTAGTCTGATTTGGATGTTTGGAAAATTAATACAAAACTATTCAAATTCTCGAATGATTTTGGCTCGCATTTTCGTTAAAAAGCATACTTGTAAAGAGACTTTATAATGACTTTGTTCTAATTTAATGCATGTCAAATAGACCTCTCTCTCTAGGTTAGGGTCATGTCTAAATCTGTGCTGTGGGCGTATGTTAGGGTATCTTTTAGAGAAGTGATAATGGGTAGTAAGGCATAAAATAACTATATTTTAACAACTGAACAAATCTGTATTAGTCTAAATGTTTGCACAATTTATTACTTTTTATACGCCCACATGGAAATGTGGTGGTATATTGCCGTCATCCCTGTCTGTCCGTCAACACAATTTCTTGTGGACACTTTACAGACTACATTTATCATCTGATTGTTTTAAAATTGATATAATGTTGTTTATTTAAGTGAGATGAAGAAGCCTATTTAATTTCAATAGTTATCATCTGATCTGTATGAAATTTATATGCATCACTTACATTAGTGAAAAGAAGAAGCCTGTTGAATTTCTGTCAATTATGCCTAGAGCTATGGCCCATGTTTCACTTTGTGAATGCTTGACTGCCAAAAGTTATCATCCGATCTGTATGAAATTTATATGCATCATTTAAATTAGAATTATGGCCCTTGTTTCACTTTGTTGAACCTTGGGAACGCTCTAACGATATATATTACCATCCGATCTGTATGAAATTTATATGCATCATTTAAATTAGTGAAACGAAGAGACTTGTTGAATTTCAGCAATTTTTGTTTATTACTTCTAGAATTAAGGCCCTTGTTTCAGTTTGTAGACCCTTTTATTCTGAACCCTCAAACAACAGAAATTAAAATCAGATCTGTATGAAATTGTCTTGAAGATGCCCCCATTACCCACAAAAGAATAAATATGCAACAACCCTTGTCGACCGCTGAAATGATTTAGCTGTGCTGTGGGCGTATGTTAGGGTATCTTTTAGAGAAGTGATAATGGGTAGTAAGGCATAAAATAACTATATTCAAGAACTATGAATTACAATATTGCATATTTAAAATATTTGTATTTAATTTTTACTTGGTTTTCAGTACAACATCACAGGCAATTGATGTGGGTGTAAGAATGAATGCCAAATTTATTCTCCTTAATCATTTTAGTCAGAGGTACTCAAAGGTACCTAACTTTAATGAAAACTTTACTGATCGAGTTGGCATATCTTTCGATAATATGAGAGTAAGTAAACCAATTTCTAATTTTTAGTAATACATAATTTACTTACATACTCACTTAACCTTCCTGTATTAATAAAAAATAGTTCAGTTATAGTAAAGGTTGCAATATTATACCTATGTTTTTGCATATTGGTCGTACATGTTATTACCAAGGAATTGCCAAGTTTTCTTGCAATATATATTTGTATTAACTTTGTAATAAAGACCCCAAATCATTTAAAAGATTAGATACATGTTTTAAATATTTGTTTTTTTGTAGGTGCGGTTGTGTGATTTGCCTTTACTACCCCACTTTCTGCCTGTTCTAAAAGCCATATTTGCTGATGATATTGCCGAATTAAAAATTAGAAGCTTCAGACGCAGTATGAAAAAACAGCGTTTAAAAGAGGAATTAAATTCAACAAAGAGTAATTCTAAAGTAAAGGGTGATGAACTTATTGAACAGAATGTGACTGTTTGACGTGAAAGTGCTAAATTGGACTAATGAATTGTGATAGATTGGTTATGTTATTTTTAAACCAGAAAGAAATGTGTGGCTGAGTGAATAAGAGAACTGTGCACTATAATAAACCCTGCTTTAAGAAATAGAACTCTTAGAAATCATTGTCCTTTTATTTGTTGATTATTTTTTTTACAAAGAATTGCAAACCTTTAGTTTTCATAAAGGGTTGGTAAGGATTCTATACATACACTAATAGTATTGTCTGGATAACCATGTCTACAAACAATAGGCTATCATATTAAGGAATTTCTGAATGGCTCCATAATTTAAATTGAAAACTTTATGTATTTGGTATTTGACTTGCATTCTTAAAACTCACTGTTATGATCAGATACCCTTGAAATCTGTGATTTCACCTTTAATAGCGAAAAACTGCAAAGTGACTGACTGATAGTTCAGTAGTAGATTTTAGAGCCACAGAGGAGGCAGACAGTAGCAATGGGTGTTAACAATCTTTCCTTCAATTTATGACACATGAGAACTCTAAACAAAAGCAGTATATAGCAGTGCTTCTCTATCTCGATGGGCCCAGAACTGCAGATCATGAGGTAGATTTGTCATCCAGGCATTGGCTGTCCATAACAAAAATGAAAACAAAAGGTTCTTGAAATTGTACCCTTTTTGCATAACTTATATAAATATATTTATAATGAAATGTAATTTGAATAAATGAACAGTCATCCAGGTTTTATGAATTATGTATGGATTTGAAAATTAGTGTCACACACTAACTATAGAGGGGGATCAGCTATAAAATAAAAACCATTACAGCCCCAAAATGCCAAAATCAAGGTTATAAAATTGAAATATTTTTAAGACCATACACAATAAAATTATCAAAAGTACTTTGGTGCAAATATTAATAAAGTCAATCAATGTTAACTGTCCGGTGAAGCCTTTGTTAACTTTATTTTTGTTAACATCTTTTTCAACCACAGTAATATTGTCACAGTTATTGTTTGCTTTGTAGGTAGAGGGAGGGGACGGGGACTTGACTGGAACGGCTAGACATAATGCAGCAAGATTGTAAACTGGATGTTTACCAACACAAGAAAATCAACAACATTTCATTTACATCTCAGTGACCTTGACGATAATTGATTTGGCCTTTATATAGATCAGGCATCAAATCAAGTAAATGGATCCGGCGGCCAGCCGTAAGCGTCCACAGCGCCGTACAGACCCGGGCTTGTAATGATACAGGCTTCACTCAAATGAAAAACCAACTCCCAAGAGAACAACCCAATGTGACAATGACGGCTATTATTTCCAATTCCGCAAATCTGACGAATGACGGTTACGTTTACAGTTGATAATGTAACTTCAGAGATGAATTTATATCGGGTCGGATTGAGTTTGCATAGGAATCTTGGCTGATAATGTCCCCCGAGCCATTGCGTCAATAGTGTAAATCGAGCATATTCTGGTGGTGGTCCGTGACACACACGAATGCACTTTGTATATCAGTATAGTTGATAGACTTATTTGGCACAACATATTTTTTAGAACTAATTTGGCGGCATGACATTGGGATCCCTGCTGGCTGCAGCCCGGTCAGCACCCCCTTAATTCAGGCCTGAATGTATAGATACAGCTATACTACATATTGTCGTGCATGTAAAAGATCCCTTGGCAGTTCGAATTCGATGTAGGCCGTAGTGCGCTGTCCGGACAAAATTTCCTTCATGGCACACTGTATGGCGTATGCCCGTCTTCATTAGCCTAGTCGGAGCAGAACAGTAGGACATTAAACCCCATTTAATTTCATTTACAGCAGTGTATGCTGTGTTTGCATGGAATCTGATCTCCCTTGTCAGGGCCCGACAAGGACAGCTGTCTTGTCGTTCGGATGGGACGAAAAACCGAGGTCCCGTGTACACATTGTCATGCACGTAAAAGATCCCTTGACAGTTGGAATTCAATATAAGAGGCAAAATTTCCCTCATAGCACACTGTATGGCGTATGCCCGTCTTCATTAGCCCAGTTCGGAGCAGGACAGTAGGACGTTAAACCCCATTTCATTTTGGAATCTGGTTGGTTGAAAATGAAGAGGTCATTTGTGTTAATACATAGACGATCTACTATTACACTACGCGCAGTTATTGTTTTGTTTATTTAAAAGAAAATCGGAACACGGTTGAAAAGTATTAAATTACTCTTTTGCACTGGGTCTAAAGTGGTTTGGTTTTTTGTGTAATTAACGTAATAACATATTATTTGTTAATTAAAACAGGAATAAAGTATGTTTTCCATTTTATTTTATACGTTTCATGTCAACTTGTCCCTCTTACTTTTTTGTGTCGAAAATATTATACAAAAATCTAACCCGAACCGTAGAATTAAATTGTCTGATGTGTTTGGTAACTGATACAATTGTACGTGCAAAATACACGTATTGTATATTTTATAGTCTATGTGGGTTAATCACTGGTAAAATAGCCGTAAGAAAATACATGTTGTACCAGTGATGATATTTACATGTTTCATTACAATATCACTTGGGGCTTTATATAAACCTACATTCAAATGTCAAAGTGTAAAATGACAAACAATTACAACAGCACCTTGTCATTACGACTTCTACCCAGGAACATCAGCGCCGTTGAATGCCAAATTTCTCATTAAAAAAAATGCTTAACGTGAAAACGGTGCATAGGGGGAACCCGAAGTGAAAATGGTGTATAATATCGTAGAAATGGGTTGCATTTCTGAAGAGACTAACATTTTCTAGAAGATGGCAACCATATGTAGAACATCTACTGTTTGTCAGCTATTATTCTAGTATTTATGTAATAAAAGAAGAAATAACAGACTTCGGACGTCTAGGCTCACCTTCGCCATATTTTCTGTATTTCCAAACATACCATGTATCTTAATGTCAAATCAAATACGCAGTTTTTCTTCACAGGCAAATTTGTTCCAGATTGAAATGGTATGTTTTAACACATGTATCCATTTCGGAGAGCAATTGGCTAAACCCTTACGAGACGGAAAAGTGAGTATTATTTTCAGTTTACCACTTGCCAAAGTTTGGCCAATATTGAATCGCTTGACCTGCCTATTAATAAAATAAACAAATTTTTGTGGCAGGACACGTGTTTTTTATGAAATTTAGATTGAACAGATATGTGCGTTATCTCAATATTCTAGAAATGAGCAAGTGTTTTTAAAAAGGGTATTGTAAAGAATGAAATACATGTTGTGACTATTTTAGTCGACACTATTTTAGCACGATTTGTGAAACCGTTATTTGTAACTTACATTGCAGTGGCGCCGCTAGAGGTGCAATTAAAATTTTCTAAAAAAATTATACATATATTCTTTTCGTTTAAAGGTAGACCCTGACTCCGTCTCTGCATTGGGCATAAGGGTTTTGTTGTGATCATGGGAGCTAAGCAAGTGTAGCGCTGGTTCGACCCTGTTCTTGACCGAGTAATTTCCACGGAATTTTCCAGCTGAAAATTCGACGATTAAAATTAGGCGGAAACAACGCTGTCCGGGTAGATTTTCCCTCGTAGAACAATGAATGGTATATATCCGTCTTTGGGTACTATTTCAGTAACGTACCTCTACCAGTTCCTGTGATCGTAGAGACGGGGACTAGCCATGACCTCACACCAAATTTCAGCCGAATCGGTCAATAACTTTTAATTTTACCATAGTACTTATCCCACTGCTCTCAAATGAATCATATATAACAATGCACTCTTGAATATTTCGACACTATAATTATTTTCGAAGAAACTATTTTATAGCTCTCAGATGTGGCTGAATATTAAAACCTGGGGCCTGTTTCATGAAATTTTAACTAAGATAAAATCCAAATTTTAGTAATTTGATTGGATAATATTAGATTGATTTTAGTGCTTAGCCAATCAAAATTGAAGTATCTACTAAAATTTGGATTTTATCTTTAGTTAAGATTTCGAGAAACATGGCCCAGATCCTTGGTCGTGCTGACGAGCTTTCTGAATCACGTCTAAAAATCGTGCGAATGTCATGCATATAAATAAAGCCATGGCAGTACATCAATATGGTGGGTTTTGGAAATTAACCTACTAAAAGCTTTAGGGTAATCTAAATATGCCTATATTGAAATCAGGACTATGTGTTAATTCACGTTATAGATCAGAAATTTTGAGAAGAAACTCAGTAGGACCAAACTGCTAATAGTGCCGTATGTCCTACCTGCCACCACACTTTAACCAGAAACACCCAATAGCTAGGTTAGCCAAAATAATACCGTTTGCGCTTATAACACCCCTCTAATTAAAGGCAGCTAGATTGAAAAGTTTATTCTGAAGTCGTTATTTGTGTTGCATTGCTTTTCTCTGCTAAATATTTCCTTCATTTTGAAGCTGGCTTCAGTAAAAGTTATTGCTATATGATATTTTGATAGTGTTTGGGAACTAACCTACTGAATCTGCGATGGTAATCTAAAATGCAACACATTGTCATAAAACTCTACTTAATGAAACTTTTAACATTTGGTTTATTTTGGCAAACGCTGGGATCGTGTTAAAATAGTACTTTAATTATGACGTTTATTTGTTAAGCTATATGTGAATAAAGTCTGTGCCAAATTGTTTCAAGGCTCATTGAAAGCCTACGAACTGCAGCCGACGTGTGACACAAATGGATCTCTGTTTAATTAACGAAGGAGAGCATATTTGACACCAAAAATGTTGTTAACCAACTTTCTGAAGCGTTATTATAAGTTTGAGGAATGTTAACAAGTTTTCACGGCCATGTGTATCATTAACGAATGATATATGACTTTAAAAGTGTATTTGCATAACCCCTGTGACGAAATACTGCGTTTGGTTACAGACGAATCGTTTAAAATGCATTGAACACGGTATTGGGGTACATGTTTTGGTTTTTTTTTTACGCCAGTGCGCGTTTGGTTGGACGTCATAGTACATGTATACTTAAAGGGACATTATCACATACGTTATTTTGTAATATAGAATATCCAAACAATGTATCTCAGCGATACATTGCAAATCTTTTTGAGGTTTACATACCATCTATTCTGTACATCCCTAATATAGATAAATAACCAAATCACGTGGAATTGGAACTTAATTTTACCAAACCAATGAATATCCCACCAATAGCTAATGTCCCTTTGTTTTTGAACAGGTTTAAAAAGTTCGATTACACACTTTTGTGTATGTTTGGTCTACAAGAAGGAAGAGGTCTGTCGAAATTTATTTCGATTACTTAGTTTGTGTCCACTTTGAGTAAAGGCCAGATCACGACAGGTCCGGGACTGTACAACGCAGAGGACGCTTATGACTGGCCCCCGGATCCATTCACTTGATTTGTTGTTTATTGCTTGAAATGTTTCTGCACATCATGTGTGTTGTCCGTGGGTTTGTCTTGTGAATATTGTTTATGTGTGGCGTTGTCCTCCTGCATTTACTATTAGATGATTAATCGAGAAGTTATTGATCTTCTTTCTAATTTCTTGTACACGTATTTAATCGAATTAGTTGGCTATAGTTCTAGAGTTTGGAACATTAAAGATACATTATGTAATATTTAGATAAAGAGCTAGTCATTCTTGCTATAATAGTTCGAAAAAAGATAATGTAAAATGAATAATTTGAAAATTTCATTCAAATTACCCTATTGCGAGCGAAGATATTAGCCTTTGAAGGTCTGACGAGACGTGT